CTCCTACACTGCACCGTATTTGTGGAATCAACTACCTGAATGCATAAAAAACGCTGAATCTGTTGACTCCTTTAAATGCTTATTGAAAACTTATCTTTTCAAAAATTAAGCCACCAGATTTTTTTATATCGATATGTATAACACGTAATACTCCGTTAGTTTAGATAGAGTAGCGATAATTACATGTATAGGATTTTTATTAAAATTTTGTTAATTGAAAGTGTAAAGCACATAGATTTATTTTAATGCGCTCTATAAGAACTTATTCTTAAGTATTACATGATATTATATGATATATGGAGTAATGAATTTAAAGGTAATATATTTTCTTGTGGATCAGAGTGACTAAAAGTTAATCACTGAATGTTTTCAAACATTTCCTTTGTGATCACTATAAGTTAATTTGCTTAAAGCAAAACCAAAGGAAAGAAAAGAATAAAAAAGAGAACGAAATGAAAGTTTGCAACTCATTCTTTTTGTGAATAGTAATTTTTTTCCATCAGGGATACAGCGGGTCAAGAAAGATTTAGAACTCTGACTTCAATGCACTTTAGGGGTACAAAGGTGAGTTTGATTAGTTCTTTCTAAGTAGGTTTCTGCAAGGTTTATGACTGGTAATATTAATGCGGTATAGACTATTTTTAATGGTGAGGTCTGTTTATGACTATAAGATGTTATCTAAATCATCGATCATTTCAACAACTTCTGAGACAGATCTGTTTTTCATATAATTGTAGCCTGTGCAAGAGTTGACAGGGATAGAAAATTGACTGCCCACTGTTCACACATTTTCATTGGGAAACAATCATGAAGACAAGAAAACAGCCAGCCTTAAAAAATTGAACTGCCAATTTAAACAAATAATTTGCCAAATGTTAATAAATTTGTTTTAAAGCAAAGATTCTGTAGAAATATAGCAAGGGTGTTGTGACTGCTCCTTTTAATAATATTTTCAGTTTCGTGAAACACTGCAAAAATTCAAAACAATTCTCAAGGTTTTGATCTGAATAAAATGTTAAGTTACGTTATATATTTACTAAATTCATAATTTCTTCAACTTTAGTCGGTGACATCCTGAGTTGTCGTGGTTTTTGTGAAGACATGTTATTGATTACCTAAGTCTTGATGAAGACCTGTGAACTTTTCCATTGTCTGCCTGATTAACTCATGATTGTATAATGTTTTAAAATTTACGAGGGTATATTGTTAGTCTATGACATAACAAATGCTGGTTCATTAGATCAACTTCAGTACTGGATAAAGACAATGAATAAGGTACTAATAACGTTATAACTGTATCAGACTGAGTCGCTATGGAATGTTAATTTGGTTATAAGACTGTGTTGAGATTATGTTTAGTTTAAGATGTATTGATTTGTTTGTTTATGCTTAATCATGAGATTACTCAGGCATTCCTAGCTAGCATAGCTGGGGAGGCTGGGAACGAAAGAAAAAATATTATGGAATAAAAGAAACAAGCACGTGGAGAGAGAGAGTTGGAATAAAATTATTCAGTTTATTCAATTGAAAGTGAGTCGTGAGTATATTGTCAGAAGAAGCATTTCCGACAACTGATTTTAACTACTGGACAGTATTTTCAAGCCTAAATTTATCAAGCACAAGAAATCACAAGCAAACTGATTATTTCCATTTAATTAGTTCGTCAATTCCTAAATTCTTAGAATTGGTTATTAAGTTATAACTTGTCATTATGATAGTTTTTATCAGATTGATGATTATCTCATAAAGAAAATGATGAGAAGATAAACTGTGAAGGTGACGTAAGATTGAAAGTGTTATCTCAAATTATAACAATCTCAATAATAGAGGACAATTAATTAACTTGATGAGCACTAATTATAACAACCTCAATAATACAGGACAATTAATTAACTTGATGAGCACTAATTATAACAATCTCAATAATACAGGACAATTAATTAACTTGATGAGCACTAATTATAACAATCTCAATAATACAGGACAATTAATTAACTTGATGAGCACTAATTATAACAATCTCAATAATACAGGACAATTAA